GCCCCGGCTTGTTTTTTTGTGACAGCCTCACTGAAATATGTTTGTGATCCCTATTATATCCTAGAATTGGAGGTATGCCAAACTGCCCAACTGAAAAAAGGTGGCATCAGGACCCCCACCCGCTAGTGACAAAGAGAGCGCCGCGATTTTGGCACTAAATCCTCGGTCCATCTGCAAGTGCAAGGTGCACTTATCTCACAACGAGGAAGAAGGTCGGGTCCCAAAAGGGTCGGAATATCAAGTACTGTACGGAACCAAGGGGAGCAGAATGAAAGGTAGGCGCATGTAGCCACGTATGTTCTAATCATTCTGGCAACATCTCGCTAGGACACGAAATAGTCTTGGTAAATCCTTGGGCAAAAGCCTTCACTTGACAGGAGTCCTCATTCCTCCAGCCCCGTGCATCCCAAGGTGGTTCGATGGCAAAAGCTGAGCCATGTATCGTCTTCCCCCCGGCCAGAAAAACCATCTTCCGGCACCTGGCCGCAACTCGATGTTGTGGATGATAGAGCCCACGGGAATATGCCTCGCACCACTTTTGGCTACTGTTTGTGCAGGTCATCGACGCAAGCAACACACACACGCATATAAGTTCATGATGTCACCGAATCCATGAATCAATCAAAGTGTGTCAGTTTAGGCTACAACCATATGGCTTAGCTGCTTCCTATGCTTTCCTTTCTGAAACCAAGAAATGTTCCTAATTGCGTATGCTCGATGTCTTCTGATGTCCCGCTCATCCATGTAGCCTTCTGCCTTTATGGCTTGACAGGAGCCAAAGGAAGATGTTTGCCTCAGCTAAAGTCTTTCTGCGTGAAACCGCTTCATCGCTTCTCCGTGTGCCAATGCCCAATTCGGCCCCAGCCTCAGCGGTAGGCTGTTTCCAGGGACAATGTTCGCAGTCTCGCTAGACAGCACCTGGGCGGGATGGCCCTTTGACCAAGATTGGGCGTGCCCGGCAAAGCTCTGCCCTGAAGAACTTCTTCGAATCACTCTGAGCCCTCTGTGGATGATGCCGTGGCTAATGAGTATTACCTCTGCAAGCATCGCTGAACCCGCCCGAGCACTCGAGGACGGCAGATCTTCATGAGCCGTTGACTCAGTTGACTGTTGAGGTCCGCCCCTTCGACGATTCAAGTCAGGGCCCCAGGCCTGATCCCCCGGACGCAACGTCAAAGGCGCCAGGATGTAGCTCAGCACGCCATCCTGGAAAGGCCGAAAGGCCTGCGTTTGCCTCCGAACCGGGTGGCTTTTGAGACCAAAGATCGACTCCATTCCCGTGTGGAGATGAGGCCAAGACATGCACACAGCCCTCTCGCCATGAAGACTGGGTGTTGCCATGCTTGAGCAATGCCCAGCAAGGAAGCTGGTCCTCGAGATGCTCGCAACACTGATGCATGCTGTCAACGCAAAAGTTAGCTCTGTGTGGGGGGGCATTGTCCAAAAAAATCTGGCCAAGTCAAGTTTAGATGGGCGACATGCAACGCGACTTCCAACAAGGCCTGCACCTATTTCCCCCGATCGGCGAGCTTGGACACCATACCTTTTGTTTCTTCACCCGAGGAAGCCCATCCAAAAATGAATGGCGCATCCCGCTTTTGCCTCGTACTGGACCAGCGCAATGTGCGAGGATCGGTCAGGCGCGTACTCGATCCGCAGCACCGTGGCCGGGATGTCCTCTACCAAGACGGCTATAAAGGTTTGTATCCACAATCATACAAATCCCCTTCTCGTATCCATTCATGAATGCGCGCTAGTGGAAATGTTGTTTTTCCCAGACTGCCGAATCTCCAATACTTTCATCTAGGCAATGCTTACCAATGCTAAACTGGCGGATTTCGCCCAGCCCAACCCCAGCCTTATTTGTGGGTAGTCCAGGACCCAAGCTCCTTGCACCAACCCCATGCCAGAATTGAACAAACCAAGGCCCCTCTTTTCCTTTAAAGTTTGTGCTACAACCATTTGAACCTTTCCAAGAAGGACGCTCATTTGCGGCTGGGGCAGCCAGTCTGACTCCTAACTTCCCCACTCACTAACAAATATCGTTGCCCCCCAGCCAATATTTATTGTTTGGAGGACGTACTTATTATTTTGGGGAAGGGATTGTGTGACATAGCTTTGCTTGAACCAGGTAGACCCGGAGGTTTTGGGCGCTGCAGTGGGGTCAGGGCTATTGCCGGGGGTTTGGCGCTGGCCGGTCCCGGCGCGCGCGCTTGAAGTCCACGAAGCGCAGGCGCTGCTTGCAGCCCCCCTCGCGGTGCCGCGTAGTTATCCTGGCGATCCCTTCAAACTCGCCGGGAAGGTAGGAAGGATTACTTACAAGTTGCCAGCACAAACAAACTGTTCAATATCAAGAGATGCAAACCATGTCAAAGCGGCAAGCGGCATGGCTAGAGATTTAGATCCCTCTGGCGCCTGCCCACGTCGTTGCGGCCCGAGTGCCGCTTTCTCCCGGTCGATAGCCCCTTGATGACCTGAGAATCGGATTCCCACGGATTCCCAGCTTCCGAACGACAGGATGAGCCGACTCAAAACCAAAGCACCTAAGGTCCTGAGCTAGTGGAGTGAACCCTACCGATGGTCCACTCCAAGCACATTTGAAGTGGCTGGCCTTGTGCAATCTATGCACACACGTCAGAATAAATGATAGGTGCAGAGGTCGGCCTAACATGAGGCAAGCTGTCCCCGCCCCCCCCCCTCCCTCGGGTGCAGGCTCGGCCGCGGAAGGTCTTTTGCGGAGTGGCCTGCACAGAGAGCCACGCCCAAATTCATGTTTTAATGCCCAAGCAAACAATCGCCAAGCCTTCCAAACATGGCTTCAAACTTCCCTTTCTGGAACCCGCTCTCGAGATCTCGGCCGCTCCTCTAAAAGCTTCTCCAGCTTCTGCTGCTTTGCCTCAGAAAGGCGACTCTTGAAGGTTGCTTGGACTCGGAGGACAGGATGGCACGATCACAGTCATTTCTCGTCCCAATGTGCTCAAAATTGTGTTTACAAACTGTGTGTTTGAATGAATGAGATTTCAACTACCCATTTTCCCTTGTCGCTGGATGAATATGCTCTGGTTAGCCTCTCTTGGTCCACGCCCTACATGTGCAAACTCGAAATAAGTTGTGCCCCGCCCCCTCCAGGGGCCAAGTTTCCTTACCTGTCTTGGCCTAGACCTGTGGATAAATGGCCAACCTTTGTCATTTCTCTGAAACGCAGTATGTTCATCTCAGTGGCGCGGCCGTACAGAGTGTCAGAATCGCCACTCTTAGCCCCCTGCCAAGGTAAACGCTGCTATGACGCTCTGCTTTGGAAGCTCCTCCTTGGGAAAGCCTGGCGATGCGGAAACATGACAAAGAGCGACACTCGATCGCCACGTTCGAAGACAGTTGGGTCCCCCAATGGTGGGGGGGCTGTGGAAGACCGGAGTCCGCGGACACATTGCGCGGAGTCCGACCGGAGCCTTGGGCCCAACGAGACGAATGATACCCTCGGATTTGACGCAATGGGGAAGTCTGGGCGGGGCTGCTTGCTTGGTGCTTGAGCAAGTGAAAGGGCGTAGTTGTCATGAATGCGGTATGGTTTAACTTCTAGGTCAAATCGACACGTCGAACTGTTGGCTTCGACCGTAAGATCAATGTTTTTCGATCAAGCGCGTTGCAAGCTGCAGGGCCACGCTTCTTTCTCGATGCATTAACGTCTGCAGCATTGCAATTTCATGCAACTTCTACGTTCATACATACAAACATCCATAATTGAATCCAATACTGACTTCGCGCCGTGCGACATGTCAAGTATTGTCAAGTCATTAAATCCGCGAGCAAACCACGTCATACCCAAGAGCTCCTGCCTCTATCAACAGGCACATTCGAAGCCACCGTGCTATCTGTTCTAAGTTCTATCACCCAAATGTTCGATAGCGTCAAAGTGTTGTTTAATCATTGAACAACGGTTGGCAAGTAAATTCCTGACACGGAGGCTTTGGGATTGGTTGGGATGGTTCCAGGTCTCAGGATCCATCACTCGACTCTGCAATCCCGAGTCCTTCGTACTCCAGAAAATGGTCGGGATGCCATTTTTGTGGTTTCCTGTACTTGTTCAATGTCCTACCGTGTGGATCCGCGAAAGGAGCGTCCAAGCAGTATCGCCCCCCGCCAGAGCCTGTCTCGAAGTCGATGTACGGCGGCCGGTTCCGCTTCATGATGCGAGAATAGGAGCCAGACCACCTGACCCAATATCTGTTCATTCCCGTGGCTCCAAAAAAACCTGCCAATATTCCGCACTAAGAACAAACAACACACACGCACAAGGAGCCCAAGGTCGAAGCCTGCCCTCCCTGCCTGCAGGCCAACTGGGATGCCGAGATGTCGGGCTGCCTGGTGAGTCTCGGGTCTGGTCAAGCATGAATTGAGGAAACCTGCTCATTGACATGAAAAGAAGCCAACTGCTGCTGTCTTCTCTACAAGCAACCAAGCACAAGCTCTATCAAATAACCACGGTCGGAAGTATGAAGTCCCCTCAGTGCAATCAAACCACCAACCACAAACCCAGAAAACCGTGAAATACCCTTAACAAAAGATGCGGAAATCCAACAACTCAGAGAGAGAAGCTGCCGTCTCCCCCACGGAGCAACCAAAGCCGTCCCCTGCCTGGCCAAAAGCGGCGCACCCGGCCCCAGGCCGGGCCTCCAGTTGGAGCGTTGACGGCGGGGTTCAATGGCTCCGATGTTCACAAGGACGCCCCATGGAAACCGACGCGCCTCGTTTTGACACGCATCCCATGCGGCCATTGGAGCAGTCTTCCCCGGGCGTCTCTTTGGAACATCATGACTGAACAGAATGAACAAAGCACTTCAGCTCGAGTTATGTCCAGCATGTGAATTTGCTCCCAATTATCTTTCTGGATCTTGCGGCCATTGCTGTCCTGTTATGTCCTGTTGCCGTGTTAGTTCCCTATGTGACGTGCAAGACCTTCGACAGAACCTATACTGGCAACCTCGAGTGCGCTTTCGTACCACCTAAAATCCCTAAAACAAAAGCAACGGGCAAAGAAGCAACATGGCTCTCCCAAGTCCGGCTCCGGCACACCACCCTGAGGCTGGGTGTTGGAGGTTTGCTTCATACGTTTCCTGCTATAGTGGCAACTTTGGGAGACAGCACCCACCCTCATGCTTTTGGCATCGTGCCTTTGCAAGATACTGGCGAAGCGTCGGCACCACATCGCCTTGCGACGTGTCATCATGCGACTGTCTAGATCGTCCACTGCTGCTTATTAGCCAAGCCAAGAGACGGCTGGCAGTACTTTAGCGATACTGACATCACAAGCTATGAAGAAGTTTCAAATTTGGGCAGCGGCTTCTTCCACAGAAGCTTGTGGCTAGATTTAGTCTGTGCCGACCTGCAAAACTCATGCCCCCTACTACTACTACACTACTACTACTACCACCACCACCACCACCACCACCACCACTACCAATCAGCAGGTAAAATCATTTCACACAGCCGAGTCTCCCTAGTAAGAGTAGAATGCAGAGGTTGTTTCCTGCGTCAGTAGAGAAACGTGACGCTTGACCTGTCAAGTCTCGTCTGATGCAGTCAAAAAATAGGTCCTCTTTGGTGGACATGCACAAACACCTGGCAATTGCCACTTCCTGCTTTGATATCCCATCCTTCGCTCATGCGCGCGTTTGTCCTCGCATATGATGTGTGCGCGTACTGGTCAAAACTCCAGGTGTGAGGAATGGTCATACAACGGGGTGCCAATGCCAATTCTTCCTTGCAACAACACACGATGCCCGTGCCTTGAACTTGTCCTTACCCGCCCGACTGGTTTGGGATTCTTAAACTCTAAGTCGCGCCCGACCTCATCCCCCCTGTGCAAGTATTATTTGAAGAAATGTGGGAAGTTACCATCCCTTTTCCCGCTCAAGTATGTGGTGGCTCGGCTGTTCGTCTGGCAAAGGCCAAGGTTCATCACACAAGAAACAGCGTGCGGCTGCTGAAATCTAGCGGGGACACAGCTGGAATTGAACAAGCAAAGTAAAGCCCTTTTGTCGCTATTGCTGCGCCACGAGACTCGGGGTGAGGAAGATTGAACGCTTAGGCGCAAACCATTTTGTTTGGATGTGGAAACCTTTGAGCAGCGCTGGGCAAGCGGCACCACTTTTGGCCCACGTTGGATGTTGGGGCTGCAAATGATGTATCCTTGCAAAAGAGCTTGAAACGATGCGGTCTAGTTTGGCCAAGCACGTTTCTTAGGTGGAGCATGTTCAACGGAAAGTAATTCCTTTTCAGCCATGCTGTTTTCAAGTAGCCTTAGCAATTTGCTACTGTGTGATTACCTTTCAGCATCACTCGCTGGAACTTCTGTTTGCCCTGCGCCAACTGTACAGGCACTTCATGCTCCTGCGATCAGGGCATGTGTGCTCTAAATCTAAAGCTTCTTGAGTCTTTCGGCCGCACCAAAAGAGTCCAAGCTAATTCGACACCGCAGGTAGCCATCAGCCGCTTGCCGCATCCTCCTTGGGAGGACGAGTCTCACGCACGGCTATAATGCTCAAGCTTGCACGCGCCGCTTCGCGGGCATTCTCCGCGCTCCAGAAACTCTTTGCAAACACTTTGCCGCTTCGGCACACGCGTGACCTCTGTCCAACGGAAGCTCTCCACCGCATGGGCAGTGAGCATTTGTTGATGCCCATCGGCAACTGCCTCATGAACGACAACTGTCCTGTAGCCAGCTTCGAAGAGCTCCTTCTGCGTGGGGTTAAAATCCTGGTCGGAGCTGAGAATGACAAAGGCACAACGGCCAGTACTCAGGCTGTGGTCTTCAAACTCATTTCGGCAGGTCTGAATCATGGACTTGAGCTCGTGGTCTGCGCTCTCCTTCTTGGCTTTGCTCAAAATCACCCGGACCCTGGCGTTGCAAAGCTGGTTTATCAGAATTGCCATGGCTTCAGGGCTGATCCAATGTCCAGAAGGGGACTTGCCAAAGCGAGTGACGGGAAGAAACGCATACATCTCTATGCGAATGGTGCGGCGCGCGTAGCCGCTGGCTTGAAGAAAGTCCATAAGATCCCGAACCAATTTCGAGGCGTCCGTTTGCATCTCATCTAGCCCGATATTCTCAAGATCCCAGAACAATCGTACATGCCGAAGCTGTTGCTTCCAGTGTGAGTCATCCTGCATAAATGCGGCAAAGTGCTCAAAGTCGCCACGCTCAAGCAGTTGCTGGGCAAAGTGTTCTGCTCTGCCTTTGTGTTTGTCATCCGTGCACATGGCCAGTTTACTCAACGCCTCTGCCAGCTCGGCATCACTAAGCCCAGCTTCTCCAAAGGCTGCATCCAGCCTCCTGCGCCACTCCAGGTAAGCCTCCATCTGCTCCAAGCTGTAAGTCGAATCAGGTGGCACAGACCGGAAGATATGCTGAAATTCCTGCAGCACAGATGCAGTAACCTCCTCCAACCTGTCCTTCAGGAACGTGGGCAGCATTCTCTGCATCGGCGAAAGCTCATCCATGTCCAGCGTGTGATGCGCATTCAATTGGTCCCGTCGAAGATCGTGAGGGAGTGTCGCATCCTCTGCTGCTGTCCTGGTATCAACCAGCGCACAAGTCACTCGCACTGCGTAACCACGTATTCTGCAGAATCAAGGAACCAAACACACGCCCATCGATCTTCTATCCGAAAGCCTCTCATACAAACTAGGTTTATCAGTATTAAGTCTCCGCCACTAAGCAACAACCCACAGCTCAGCCTGACTCACAATGCCAATGACAAACATCAGCTGCCACCAAAGTTCATCCCGCTCCTCAGGGTGCCTCGTGCTTCATCCTTCGAAGCGGGCGCCACCTTTGCTGGGAGAAAAGACCAACCACATATGCCCGGACTGCCCGGGGTTTGGCTCCGTACGGTTTTAAAGATCCACAGCTCACAAAAACCATCGGTTGTCACGAATCCTAAAAAGCATCGAACCAGGGGGTGCACAGCTGGCTTTGGGTCTGTCTGAAGCCCAGCGACAGAACTCCCCAAGTTGGACTGGGTGCAAGACAAGCCCAATGCGCGCATTGGCGCTCAAATTGCAAGCGCAGTGATCAGCCAAAGATTCAAACTGGATTGAGTGTCAGCTTCCCGAATTTGTATTCCGATATTGCTCTCTTATACACAATACCTCCATGTTCAACTCACCAACGCACGACACAAAGTATGGCAACGGACCTCCATTTCACCGAGCTGCCGCAGCGCTGCGGAGACAGGCACCCATTTTCGCTCCCGAGGGCTGAGGGGCGAGACTGGGGGCTTGAGTACCCTGCCTGCGGATGGGCAGCAAGCCTAGGCAGCCTTCTGAGAAATGAGATGGCGAAGTGTGCAACCAAGCTGATCTAAGGAGGACATATAATATATATATATATATGCAATGGCACACGCATACAAGTGTCGCAACATCTCTCACTGCATCTCGTCAGCAAGGAACAGTGCAAAGAAGTTACGCATCATTTGACTCCCTAGCACTAGCTCAGACGTGCAAATCAAATGTTGACAACTGCTGCCTATCAGATCGGTTCACTGCTCTTGCCGGAAAGGCTGGTTGAAACCAAACCTGAAATTTGGCGCGTTCGGCTGCAGCGATCCCTTCGAAGTTTTACTCAGAAACCAAGCCAAATGGAGTCACTTGCGCACCTTCGGAACCGGCCAGTCCAGGCTCACGCCCGGAATTGGACAGCCGAATGCGCTGATTTGGAAGATTCTTCAGTGGGTGGGAGAGCTTCCGAGTGGTTGGAGCTGCTGGGAAGGCAATGCCCAGGGTAGGTGTGGAGAGCTGCCACTCTATTGCTTCGAGCAGGACAAGTAATGTGCGAACGCATCATTTGAACGCCACCCCCAAGGACTAAAGGAAACCCAAAATGTCAAGCAATCGTCACTGTCATGTAGCTGCGTGTCAACTGAAGCTGATATGTCATACTGAGCCCATGGTATCCCATGGTGTGCGGCGACCTACCGCTGCCTTCCAGCTCAAGCCCTTTGCTTGAGCCAAAGGTCGAGAAGCGAACCTGAGGCTTCCTTGGCCCGTCGCTCTGCAAAACTTTCAGCAAACGCTGACGACCCATCAGAAACAGAAACAATGTAACGCACTCACTCCTTTGGGCCGCCCCAGTGGAACTCGGGGATCAGATTCTGCAACTTGGCATCCTCGCAGGTGTACCTCTTCGCATAACTCCGAACCATACGACCGTCTCAGCCGAGTCATGCGGGCGTTGCTCACACAAATACCTTGCTGCAAGGGGACCAATCTAATCGACCTCTCAACTTGCAGCAGCTGGCCAAAGAACCAAAAGGTGCCATAGCCTCGTAAAACTGCCATGCCTGTACTGATTTCTTCTGTAAAGGCTCGGTATGCTCGGGATTGCATGGTTCTACTGGCACTTCGCTGCTGATATGTGGGAAACTCCTGATGTTTCAATTAGACCTTAACATGGAAAAAGTGCATCGAAGCAAACTCGTTGAATAGAAGCAGCATTACTCAGCATAACTCTCCTCTTAACAAAGTCTTCTGATGACCTCTCCGTTCACTCGCAATTCTGCCGTCGAATCTGTGTGGGTGCCCGCGTTGAATCAATATCTAGACTTTGGAAGTGTGCACAGAAAGAAAGTTGCTGAAGGGCTTTCACCAAGCGTGCGACAGCTTCCCGCGCACTCCGGAGAAAAGGTGCCGTTGGCCAACCAAAGGCCCGGGAAGGCCGTCATGCACTGGCAGCCGAAGCACCTTGGCTCAGAAATAGAGGCGGGAAGGGTTCCTGACAACATCCAGGCTCTTTGTTTGGCAAATTTTGTGTAACGAGTTTTATAGCGTTAGAGAGAGAGAGAGAGTGACAAATAGAGAGAGAGAGAGAGAGAGAGAGAGAGAGAGAGATAGAGAGATAGAGAGAGATGCAGAGAGAGAGAGAGAGTGAGGGAGAGAAAGAGAAAGCAAAAGATAAAGAAGAGAGAAAGAGAAGGAGACAGAGACAGAGACAGAAACAAGTGACAGAGAAAGATAACAAAGAACACGAGAAGGAGACATAGATAGAGACAGAAACAGGTGACAGAGAAAAAGAGGGAGAGAGAAGGGGAAATGAAGCGGGCTTCAAACTATAGTTCTTATATTGTTGAAACTTCCGCCCCCTCGTTCTCTGCCCGCTGTACTGGTATAACATGGGAGTGGTTCACGTGTGACCATATACTCTCTAGAATGGTCCTCCGCATACGAGGCCTGCCTGCTTCACAAAACCTAACCAAATACTCACTTCAACAAATTCAGATCGCCAAAACGTCCGAAGGTGGTGCCACCAATCTCTCGGCGCTGGCCGACCAGCAAAATGTTTGCTGCTCTGGGTCCACTAGTTCTTCGGTTTTGAGGCGCCCAGCTTGAGTTTCATTTCATCCCCTGTGTCCAATTTTCATTGGCGAAATCTGCAATCTCATTGCTGGAAGCTCCTGGACTTAGACTCCGGCTGCTCCTCAGCAGGACGGCCCATGGCCGGCTGGACAAATTCCTCATTGACCTTGGGCAAAGTTGTGAGAACTCAAGCGCTCTCGACCTCGTCACATGGCAGTTGGCACGGCGACTTCGCCACCATCCAAGAAGATTGGGGGCCGAGTCTTTGCTTCCTCGCCATGAGTGCGAGGAAGAAAAGGAGCACACGTCAATGTTTGATCACATATTTCTATGGGCACGTAAGGCACGTAACTTTACAAAACACAATGGCAAGAAATGGCTAAAGCTAGCTTGCAGGCATGAAGCCCAATTCTTGGGTCGGTTTCCAGCGAGCCCTGGAAAAGGCCTTCTACAGTGGCCTTTGGAGGCATTCTTGCTCATAACATAGTGCGGATTGACAACATCCACACTGGGAATGCATGAAACCCAGTAAATACTGGTTGACAAGGCGTCTACCAACTGGTGCAAAGTGGAATTGGCCCATCCACGTAGTGCAAACCCCAGTAGAAAATGGCAACGCGCCACGCCCATCGGCCAAACCCCTGGGAGGCAGCACCCAAACGACCGTGGGCGTGGGCGCATCTGGCCTCAATCGGCGAGAAAACAAGCACGTCAGCACGTCTCTGCGTTGAAAATAACTTTCGTCCATCCGTCAAAGAGAACTTTCGATATCAAGAGAGCAAGGCAAAGACGCAAAGATGGTGCTTTGCCTCATGACATGGCATGCCCCTGATTCCCTGGAAATGAGAAGTCATGGCTAGCTGCAAAGATCTCAAAGTTCATCAAATTCCGTATCAAACAAGCAATGAAGTTGACACACTGCATGACAAGCAGGTGATCGCGATAGATGGCAGCTTGTCCGAATACCCAAGATCCAGCTGCAAGTCGAAAAACTCAGCTTGCGATCAAGCTAAAGAAAATTCAACGTTGAAATAGGTGTGTCTCTTCTTGGGGGGACCTCTACAATGGTGGTTCTGCATTTGGCTTGCACTTCAACCAAAGGTTGCCCTTTCAGGATAAGGTAAAACAAGAGAGCTAAGTAGAGGAAAGTAAGCCCTAGATGTTCAACTGTCATATTTCCTCTTTTGGGTTTCGGTCTGGGGGGTCAGTGGGGGAAGTCTTTGATTAAAACCACCAAAAAAAGGGGCACCCTCAAAATCAGACAAACCCACATGGTGAATGCCAACATTGTCGCTTGTGCCAAATCCAATGTGAGCAATAGTAAGGGAATACGAAAAATATTCGGCCACCTCCTTGACAGCGCCCAAGGCACTCTATTTGGGGACCACCAAACAAATGGATGTGTCTGTTTCTCCTTTGGGTTCTTTTAGCAAATCCCGCAGAATCGCTAAGCAGAAAGTGGTTAAGTGAACAACGGGTCGAGATTTAATTTGGGTTTTGTTTTGTTTTATTTGGGGATTTTTTTGTTTTCCGTCCTGGCTACTAAAATTCTGTAATTTACAGCATGTTCTCGCGAAATGTACGTATTTTACGCTAGTCCGTCAACATCATCAGCATCGTTTTCAACATCCCCCGCATGTCCAGCCAACATCCCCAGCATCACCAGCAAATTGGCTTCCCGCATCTCATGGTAAAAGTGAGGATTCAAATACGGGCAAACTAATCCCTGTAAAACACCTAAAACGTGGCGGCAGCCCCCCCCATGATGATTGAAAAAGTGACGACGGCAGCCCCCCCCATGATGATTGGAAAAGTCTAAAAAATTGCGGGGGGGTTGGGGGCGGCGGCAGCCCCCCCCCATGATGAGGCAAAGAATCTAAAAAGGATCGGTCGCATGATGATCGAAAAAGTGATGATTCAATTCGGGGCAAAAAGTCCAACAAATAGCGGGGGGGTTGGGGGGGGCGGCAGCCCCCCCCATGATGATTGAAGAAGTGATGATTCAAAAAGGGACAATAAATATTAAAAAAGCAGCCGGGGGTCATCAGTTCCTCTGCGGCAAGGCCTCATGGTGCAAGTGAGGATTCAAACACGGGCAAACTAATCCCTGTAAAACACCTAAAACGTAGCGGGGGGGGGGGGGG